AGCTCTGTGAGGGTTGTCCTGAGGGATAGTAAAACGTCCTGACTTGACCGAGTGGAGTTCGGGGCAAGGAGGAGGTGAACCTTCCTTTGTACACAAGAGTGATTGTAATTCATCAACTTGAAGTAGCTTGTTTCAATTAATCTACAAGCTCAAGAGGAGTTGGGTAGTTAATTGGTTTGCAATCCTTTCCTTTTTATTTACTTACTGTTACATTTGTGATCTTTGCATTGTTTATGTCTTTCGCTTGGTTGTCTTCGATCCTTACATATATATTACATATATATTACATATATATATTATATATATATATATATTTTAATATATCTTCCCTTCAAGCGAAGTATTCCATCATAAGTCATAGAACCATAGTCCGCATGCTTCTAGATGTTGTGATTAATAAGAGAAAGGTTGAACTTTGAAATGGGTTAGAGTTTGATTATTTTTCCTTGTTTATGTTAAATTGCAATTTGGTTCTATATCATGCAATTCGACATAAATTGACACCAACCCCTCAAAATTTGGTATCTTCAACTCCATTAACAACTATTTATGAGTCTTTTTTTTTTGTTTATATCCATTATCTCAAGTTTTGGATGGAATCAATCCGTTGATACAAATAGTTCATTGGAGAAAATTGAGTTATTTGGGTCCTAGAGGACTAACCGGGCGAACTGCTTATTTTCGGACACGCGGTATCCATCCCACCCAGTCACTATGGGTATATTCGTCCAATTGACACACTCTACTTTCCCCGAGTTTATTCTCCAAGAAAGTCTGTTTGAATTATTCCATTGGATAGGGGGAGTGGGAATTAGGCATAGTGCTTATGGTCCCCTACGGACACCATGAATAGGTGAGGGTTTGGGAATTTTGGGCTGAAGGCTTAGCTTGTTAGGTTCCCTTTTCTGATTAGTTTGTTGGATTTAACATTTGGTTTTCTGTACCCTAAAAAAAAAGTTTGGTATTCTGTCTTTTATCCATATTGCCTTCCATTTTGTTTGTCATTTGACTATTACACTTGTTGGTCCTATCTACCCTCATCTTGTATCCCTCTGAATGCTACTGTGGTGTAATTACTAATTAATCGCACTCCGACTACATTGCAGAACTCAATTCCTCCCCACTGCTAAGGACTTGAAGAACCCTTTAACCGTTCCCCCCCCACCTCACACATTTCCTTAATTTCTTCACTTTAATGGTCTTCTTCTCTTATTTTCTTTATCTGGTTCAATTGAAGTGTGGTTTCGATGATAATCTCCGGTCATGTACGGGACTCTTTTATAAACAATGGTTCGATGGTTCGATAGTTCGATATCTCTAATCTTTCTTTGCTTTGTTTAAATTACTGCTGCTATAAGTGATTATTGTTATCTCTCTGGAGTTTCTACTGGTCTCCTATAGTTGTTTACTGCGATATCTATTTTCTCTAATTCTTTAAAGTCTTCGGCTGAACTCACGGTTGATTCTCTACTGCAGATTTAATTTAGGATCGTCTATTTTCTCGAAATACCTCTCTACTAGGCACCAATAAAGCAGGGTATATCATTTCTAGCCGAAGGTGAAGGAAAAATAAATAATGGCATGCCCATAGAACTGGTTTGAACTTTTCTTTGCATAAATATAAGGGATAACTTCAAAAAACTCTCCTAAGGTTTCTGATTATTTTACTGACTTCCTTTCAAGTTTTAAAAATCACTCTAAGTTCTCTTAAGATTAATTATTTTGTAATATTTAGATTTAACCAATAATAAAAAAGTAATATTAGGAGAGAGAAAATAATATAATTTCATAATTTTTCCTCATCTACTACATTATTTAATTAATTTCATACCAACTCACATATTAATGAAAACACTAATATTTGCTGTTTATCATTAGAAATTAAATCATATATAGCACTAAAAAATAGTGTCGCACCCCTTTTTTGGAAAAACAATTAAATGGTTTAAAAAATGAATTTTTTATTGAAAGATGTCAAAAAATGTATTTTTCAATTTCGAGAAAATAAATAAAGAAAAAGGGCCTAAAATGGGATTTGGCCTAAAGTGCAACGGTTTTGACCCAAAATAATAATCTAAAAAGGATTTTCTTAAAAAAAGGAGTCGCCACTTGCTATCGAGTTTAAGTGTACCAAATCACTTAGAAAAATATGTTTTAAATAAAAATAAATAAAACTCTTTTTAGATGACTCCAGGTCTTCGAAAAACAAGAGAAAAAGGTTCGGGAGTCACGGTTGAAAAAAGAGAAGGCAAAGATTTGGTTTAAGGCATCCTTTCAACCTAACCAAAACTAGTTACGAGATTTAGTCAAAAATTTTTCTAGTCTAATCTGTAGATATATCACATTTGGATGTTTCTATATGGATGTAAATCTAGACCTACAGAGTATCGGGAGGGTCGAAATATCTTTTCGAAATTTAATTGGTACCAATCATATTAATTGTAACGCCAAGAGTGACTCCTCGAAGAGATCACAAATATGCAAAAGATGAGATTCGAAGAAAGGAAAAATAATAATACATGATTTAAAGAAATGCATCATGACGGGTACGGGTAACTAAAATTCGTGACTCAATTTTCTTTTTTATGAAGGGGATAAGAGTGTGTTAAGGCTTAAGAGGCCATACTCGTTCGTTTCTCATATTTGAAAGGGGACTCTTCTAATCTAATCAAACAAATGAACTAACTTATTTTCTAATTTCTTAAATGACATGCAAGTTTAAATGTCATGTTTCCCACACATAAGGATAAGGGAGATATATATAGAGGAAATATCATCCAAGATGAGAAAAGATCCCAAAAATGAAAAAATATGTATGAAATGTGATGAATGTCATGTAAAAATGTGAATCTAGCGCGAAACGGCCTAAAGGGTCTAGCATTGGATTAGCCCATATTTATAAGTTCCTACTAGCATTGGATTAGTGAGAAATCTAGGAAAAAGACTACGACTGGCGTTGGACTAGTGTGGTAACGTTATGCATTTATTATAACTAAATAAATTATATAAAACATAATTAAACCAAGTAAACACATAAACACATAGAGCACATAGCACATAAATATAATATTTAGATGCAAAGATCTTAAGGAAAGCGAGTAACCACATAAGCATGCAAGCACACAAGCAAATAAACACACATAAGGACCTAATTATAACATTTGAGGCGCTAAATACAATCTAAAAGGAAAATTTTAAAAAAATAATGGCCTAACTATTACATTTATCTAACTAATTATATTTTTGGCAAAATTAAAACCTATCTATTGCATATTCTAACTAAATACATGTCTTGAACATCTCTATTACAAATTTGACGTTTAAATGCCTCTCAAATATGTAAAACTTAAAATGAATAAAACGAGTAAATAAAAAAAAAATACTAAAAAAAAGCAATTACACATAAAAAACACATATGAGCACATAAAAGGTTTTAAAATAATAAAAGAAAATACCTTCCTTAAAGTAGTGGTTAATTGGGGTTGGATTTGCCCTATTTATACTCCAAAATCAACAAAAAGGTCAATGTACCAAATTAATTAAAAAATAAAAGGAATAACATGTACACAAGCTACTGGGTCATTTCTCTTATTTTTTCGGGTCAAAAACTCTCTTAACCCAACCGAAACCCAAAGGAAAAAAGAGGGCCAAGCCTACCTTTTTTTACCAAATCAACCTAATCAAATTGTATGGGCTTTCATCCCCAAGCCCAAGTCAGAAAATCCAACAAAATAAAACGAAACCCACTATCAAACCCAAACAAAATACCCTAAACTTGAAACTTAAATTTTCTTACAAAACCCAACAAGATAAAAATCAACTAAAAATTGTTAAAGACTAATTATGTGTTAAAAATCCAGAATTAATCTACCCAAAACTCACTTAAAATAGGAAAAAGAGGATTAAAACTTAAAAGGGGTAAAATTGGTTCAATTTCCAGATATTTGGGCCACAATGAAATTAGGTAAATATTAAGGGATCAAAATGCAATTTTTACAAAACCTCCATGCAAGCTTTGAAGCTTCTTCTTCCGTAGCTTTCTTTCTGCAACTTTGGTTTTTCATTTCCCAAAAACCACATGAGACAAATTCCACACGAAAAAGATCCTACAACTCATGCACTTTATTTCCGTTATTAGACATCTAAAGAAATCAAAAGTATAAGAGAAAAAAAAAAAAGAAAAGTGCAAAAGGAATCCAAAAACGAGAAAACAAAGAGGAGCATAAACGGGAATAAAACAGCAAACAAAAAGGAGAGTCTAAGGCATTAGTTTTGGGGAGTACCTAACGATGATCTTGAACGAAGTTAAGGTCGAAAAACAAGAACAAGAACGAATCTTGCTGCGTTTTTTTTTCTTTGCACGAAGCTGGGACTGGCGCAGTGGAGGCAGATCAGTACTCTTGCGGCCAAATTTGGCGGTCTTCCAGTCGTTTTTTCTCTGGGATGTCTGAACAAACGTTACTCTCCTCACTTCTTAGGTTGAGTAGAAATCAAAAGTTACTTAAACAAAGCTACAATGGTGGAGATAATTGGGTCGAAAGTTGGCTGAAGAATCAGCCTATTTTTTTTTTTTCGAAAATTTCTGCTGAAACTTTTTTTTTCTGTTTCTTCTTTCCTTCTACCTTTTCTTTCTCCCTTTTTGCTTCCCTCTCCCTCTCCTTCTGTTTTCCACCGCCTCTCCTTGTTCTTTTTTTTTTTTCTCTAAGGCTGTGTTTTTATCCCTTTTTATAGGAACAAAACCTCCCCCCAACCCTAGAACTTCTAACAATCGAGGTAATTTTATTGAGTTGATCAAGCATGTGTCTTCTTATAATGAAAAAGTGGCTGCTGTGGTTCTTGATAATGCTCCTCGAAATGCATCTTATACTTCTCCTACGATCCAAAAGGAGATATTGTCCATTTGGTCGATCAAGATACAAAAGCATATTCGAGAGGAGATTAGTGATTCAAAATTTTCTATACTTGTTGATGAGGCTCAAGATAGATCAAAAAGAGAGCAAATGGCTATTGTTCTTAGATTTGTGGACAAGCAAGGCTATATTCGAGAGAGATTTTTTGACATTGTTCATGTGCACGAAACCAATTCCTTGACTTTGAAGAAGGAGATATGTGATGTCCTTTCTCGCCATAATCTGAGTGTGCAAAACATTCGTGGCCAAGGATATGATGGAGCTAGTAACATGCGTGGAGAATGGAATGGACTGCAAGCATTATTTATTCAGGAGTGCCCTTATGCATATTATATTCACTGTTTTGCTCATCGACTGCAATTAACATTGGTAGCAACATCTCAAGAGGTAATTCCTGTGGAACAATTCTTTACAAACTTATCTCTTCTCATAAATTTAGTTTCATCTTCTTGCAAACGGGTGGACCAACTTAGAGTTGCTAGAGCTGCTAGAATTGCTGAATTGATTGCTATTGATGAACTTGAGACTGGTAGGGGTCAGAATCAGATGGGTACCTTAAAACGGCCAGGGACTACAAGATGGGGGTCTCATTTTAGTTCTATCTGTAGCTTATTCACAGAATATGAAGACATTTGCTCTGTCCTAATTGATGTTATCAATTATGGAAATACATCAACTCAAAGAAGTGAAGCTGACAGAGTTTATGATTTCATGACATCCTTTGATTTTGTTCTTGTTATGCATATGATGAGGGACATTTTAGGATTTGCACAAGTACTTTCTCAAGCTTTACAATGCAAATCTCAAGATATTTTGAATGCCCTTAAATTGGTTTCAGTAACAAAGGATCGACTTCAAAGTTACAGAGATAATGGATGGAATGAATTGTTCACCAATGTAAAGACATTTTGTGATGCACGAAATATAGAGATGCCCGATATGAATGTCATTTATAAAGCAGGTCGAGGAAGAATTCGAAAACAAAATGATCCAATTACCATGGAGCATCACTACAGGATTGATGTGTTTTTGGCAACGGTTGATTCTCAAATACTTGAAATGAAGAATAGGTTTAAGGAAGATGTAATAGAGTTGCTTATTCTTAGTTCAGCATTGCACCCCAAAGATAATTTTCAGGCTTTCAATATTGAACAAATTTGTCAACTTGCAGACAAGTTTTATTCAGCTGACTTCACAGATCAAGAGAAGTTACACTTAAGAACTCAATTAGAGCTTTTCCAGATTGAGTTTTCCTGTAATTCTCAGCTTCAAAATTTGTCATCACTTCAGGAGTTGTGCCAAGTGTTAGCGAAGACAAGAAAGTCAATGTGCTATACTCTTATTGATAGATTGATTCGTCTTATTTTGACTCTTCCTGTTTCAACAGCTACAACAGAGCGTGCATTTTCTGCTATGAAAATCATCAAGACTTGCTTGCGTTCTAGGATGGAGGAAGACTTTCTTGCCAACTCTATGATAATGTATATTGAGAAAGAAATTGCTAGAACTTTTGATGTAAATTCAATCATTGATGACTTTGATAAAATTAAAAGTCGTCGTGCACAATTTCATATGTCCCACACAGTCAAATAGATTTGTAAATATGATGATATTTTTGTATATGTGAAGCGTATAAGTAATTTATATAAGGTTGTTTCTAATCTTGTGGTATATATGTTCACATTATATTTTTTTTGTAAATATATTTTACTTTCATTGTTATAGACTCGCCCCCCCCCAAAGTTAATTCCTAGCTCCGCCACTGCCTAGAAGTGATGGTGGAGATTAGAGGTGGGTTTCTTGGCAACTTGAAACCATTGGATGGCTTTGATTCCAGATTTTTCTTGATGATTTGGATTGAAGCCAGGTGGCCTTGTACTGGGGGGCTGGGAGGGAAAGAAAAAATGCAACAAAATTGAGTGGAAATGGATGAAAATTTGCAGCTGTAACATTCTTGTACTGTTTTTCTGGTTTTGGGGCCGACACAAAGGAGGAGGACAGTGCGCATATATTTTTTGCAAAATTGCATTTTTCATTTTCTTTTTCTTTCTTTTTCTTCTTTTTTTTTTCTTCACTTTTTCCTTGTGTTTTCTTTCTATTTTTTTTCTTTGTTTTTCTTCATTTTCCTACAAAAAATGATTTTTCCTTAAAATAAGAATTAAAGGGTAAAACAATAAAAATAAAGATAAAGAAAATAAAAAACAAATTTATCAAAATTTTGTTGTCTACAGTTTGCACCTCTGCGAAACTCAGACAAAAACATAGACACCAAATTACTTACCTGTCCGGTTTAACTGCAATTGAAATAGTTAGCAAAAACTTAATGAATCAAAAAACTTAAACCTAGAAAATAAAAGGTTGGTGTGACCAAACTTGAACTTAACAAAGCAGAAAGTTGGTGAGATAAAACCCAAACCTAACAAAATAAACGGTTGGTGTGATAAAATCCAAACCCAATACGATTGGTAGGATAAAATCCAAACCCAACAAAATAAATAGTTAATGGGATAAAACCCAAACCTAACACTGTTGGTAAGATAAAACCCAAATTCAACAAAATAACGGTAGGTGGGATAAAATTCAAACCCAACAAAATAGCGGTTGGTGAGATAAAATTCAAACCCAACAAAATAAATAGTTAGTGGGATAAAATCCAAACCCAACACGGTTGGTGGGATAAAATCCAAACCCAACAAAATAATAGTTGGTGGGATAAAACCCAAACCCAACAAAATAATAGTTGGTGGCATAAAATTCAAATCCAATAAAACAACGATTGGTGGGATAAAATTCAAACCCAACAAAATAAATGGTTGGTGGGATAAAACGCAAACCCAACATGGTTGGTGGGATAAACCCAAATCCAATAAAATAACAGTTGGTGGGATAAAATCCAAATTCAACAAAGTAAATGGTTGGTGGGATAAAATTCAAAGCTAATACAGTTAGCGGGATCAAACCCAAATCCAACAAAATAACAGTTTGTGGAATAAAATTCAAACCTAACAAAATAAATGGTTGGTGAGATAGATAAAACCCAAACCCAACAAAATAAATAGTTGATGGATAAAATCCAAACCCAACAAAATAAAAAGATTTTGAAATAACTTCTGAAATCGTATTTTTCAAAACTTACCCACGTGTAGGGCTTTTTTTTTTCTAAAAAAATTGCCCCAATTTAATTCTAACTGGATTTCTCTCTTTCTCTTCTTTTTTGGTTAAAATTTGTACTCCTTCTAATGAATGAGCCAATCCTTCACTTTGCAGTGTAGTATTATTGCCCCTTTTTATTCATGATTAACCTCTAAATTTACAAGATTCTGACTTACGTTTCTTTGTCAATTTCAGCCATAAACACCTGCACTAATGGGATTTTTCAAGGTACAACATGCACTTGAATTTTTTTAAATTTTTTTTAAAAAAAATTCTTACTTTATTCTGAAAAAATGATGCAATTATTACTAAATATAGAAAATAATCACATACTAACATGTAATGTGAATTGATGTACAATAGAAATTGCATTCTTCCAATGAAGAAGTTTAAATGTTGTGTTTAAACTCATGTAGAAGATTCTATGATGAATCTCGTAAAATAAGATCAAATTGCAAAATATCTCTTCTTTACTTTAGAATCGATGCTTAGGAGGAAATGATAACTCTTCCTCGTTAGCTCGTCCTTTAGGACCAATCAAGTGGATATTATTTCTGATTTTGAAGTGGTTAAGAGAAACGGTATGTCAGAATCTGTCTTGCTTTTGTACCCAGAATGTATCTAACCCATTCAATATCACATTTTGATGAAAGCAAATAGTTTCCCACACTTATTTCTTATAAAAACTCAGTCAACATATAAGCTTTATAAGTTTGTAATATATGGGTAGAAACGATAGCTAAACATATAGAAATATGTTATGGCCTTATGATCACAAGTGATTGGTAGATTCCTTATAGGCATGATCCTTGCTTCGAGTTGTCATGAAAGATAAGTCAACAATGGGATTTATGAGCTTTTAATGTGGCTTGAAAATGATAATTAAATCAATAAGATTTTTAAGGACATTGTACTTAAGATCTCATTCCTTCCAAAAAATTGTCCCTATTTTGGATTCAAAGACCCTAGACTGCATTTTGACTTTTATCATCAACCATTAGGGGGATTTTAGCATTAAATCTCTTTGCATTTTCCTTTTCGTTTTCTTTTCTCTCTTTTTCTTTCTCTCTCTTTTCTATTTTTTTCATTTTCTCCCCTTTCTTTTGTTTCCTCTTTTTTTTTCCTTTCCTTTGTTTCCTCTTTTTTTTTTTCATTTTCTCCCCTTTCTTTTTTTTCCTCCCATTTTTTTTGCATATATATTTCAATACCGAGATCCCAAATATCAATGATAAAATAAAAAACCCCCTAACTATTAGAATATAAATGCCCCATTTTCTTCTTTTTTTCTTTCCTTTTTTCTTTATTTCATGTCCCTTTCAAAAAAATTTAGCATCTTTGCCATTTCTGAAAATTCTCAACTCTCCTTCCCCTATGTGGGGGTGCGATCATAAGTGCTTTTGAAACGAACCACCAATTTAAGCTCAAATGAGGGTACAAAGGATAAATAGTGTTTAGATAGTAGAAAGGATGGCCAAATCATCATTCTTACGTTACATGACAATCAAAGTAAAGAATAGCCCATTGGGAGAATCCATTCCCTTTTGACATTTCAAAACTTTCCCAATGTAGGGATATGATCATTAAGGCTCTTATTTGAAACAAAGTTATACTTTTAAAGGCTTAAATGGGAGAACAAATGATAAAATCTATATAGATAGAGAAAAGAATGCCTAAAGTATTATTCCAAATTCTCAAAACAAATAAGAGTAATGTACATTTTTGCTTTCACTTAGATGTGGATTGAATCTGGTTAAACACAGTGGTCATTTTCACACTAAAGATGGCTTCACTCTGAAGTTTGTCAACCAATGTGACTGGTTTTGAAGGTTTGATAGAAATGGGCAAAATATAGATTGTAAAATGAAAGAGGAAAGTATCGTACTTGGTCTTGTAAGATAAACTACCAAGTTCGAGTGATTCCTTTTGATTTCGAGTGCAAAAAATTTTAGAAAGCCTAACACACTCTTGTAAATTTCATGCAAGAGATTGGAAATCTCAACTTAGTCTTATTTCTTAAAATTCATCATGAAGTCTCCCAACGAGCAAATAAAGAGTGAAATGTATATGAATATATACAAAATGATAATTGTTTAAATGAAATACTTTATTATTGCAAATGTTTGAGAAAATTTTTTTTGCTCAACTATAATACAAATGAGAAAAGAAGAATCTCTGAAGAATACACTTTCATATATATACACTTTTTCTCTTTTTTCTTTTGGGACAATATGTGTTAAAAACTAAAAAAGGTTTTTTTTTGGACAAACAATTATGAAATCTCTTAGATGCTTTAAACTAGCTCTTTCAGATGGATTCTTCAGATTTTTATATTGCAAGATCTGCCTAAGAATCAAGTAATACTTATAATTTTCAAATTTATTAGACCAAAATTGTGATCAGATATAGGAAAAATATTGTTTACCTTATTGAAACATCTTTTATAAATGTAGGGGAGGGCAAAAAATAAAAGAAAAATATCCAAAATTAGTAAGTAAAAATATAAAATCATATGTATGTCCTATGGGAGAGCCCTTTTTATACCAAGGGTTGGCCTAACATAAAAAAGTGCAATCCTTTGGGATAGGCACCATATAATACCTGATGTATCCGATCAATTTATTGATATTTGACTTTAAAAATAATTTGAAAATTTGACCACTTGGAGTGATAGGGGATATTTGACTTGACAGGATGAGGACAAAATTCGAATGGATTGACTGCTCTGGTTGGCACACGGAGAGATGTTAAAAGTCAATTTGACATGAAAGAACCTATTTCTGAAAGGATTGTAATATCTCGACTAACTTCTTTAGTGAAATATGTGACGCGCCCCATTTTTTTTTTGCGATGAAAAGGATGTTAGTAAAAGATGTGGTTTTTCATTTAAAAATAAATGAAAAAGGGTCTAAAATGGGATTTTAAAGAATGTAACAGTTCGGACCCAAAATTTAGTCTAAAAAAGAGTTTTTAAGAACAATAGGAGTTGCCACTTGGTATTGAATTTAGGTATACCAAGTCACCCAAAATATTTTTAATAAATAAAAATAAAAATAAAATGCTTTTCGACAACTTCAGGCCTTTGAAAACGAGAAAATGAATTCGGGAGTCACGGTTGAAGAAAGGGAAGACAAAGTTTCGATTCATTCAAACCTAAGGTACCCTTTCAGCAATCAAAAAAATGTGTTAACAAATCAAAAAAAGGTTTTTTTGGACAAACAATTATGAAATCTCTTAGATGCTTTAAACTAGAGCTATCAGATGGATTCTTCAGATTTTTACATTGTAGGATCTGCCCAAGAATCAAGTAATACTTGTAATTTTCAAAATTTATTAGATCAAAATTGTTATCGGATATAGGAAAAATATTGTTTACTTTATTGAAACATCTTTTATAAATGCAGGGGAGGGCAAAAACTAAAAGAAAAATACCCAGAGTTAGT